TATTCCTTTTTGACCATGCTATTCAAGAGTAGAAGGAAAAGCAAAAGGAAACATTGGAAATGACTAAACCAGTACTGCGTAAAGGACAAGAACAATGGTTCGAGCTGTTTTACTAGTTTTAAGAGATGTTTGCTGTCAGGTTGTAAGAATATGGTAAGATTAATTAGTATACTGATCACTGGAATATCAAAAGTTGACTCTGTGGATGCTCCTCTAGCAAAGTAGAGAATCTTGTAATTTAATAAGTATTATTTAAATTAAGTGAGGAAAAAAACATCGAAAAATAGAATAGTAATGCATCTTTGTGATTTCATAAGATTGTCCCATAGTCATTCATCAACCACTGTGGTTCAGTCAAAATCCATATCAGCCTCCATCTTCTCACTCCCCATCCCAGTAAAAGAATTTAAATTATATACACTGACGGTGTAACCGTGTAAGTGAGCAGATTACTTACCATTTTTATTAAATTATCAAGTAACGCTAATAAAAAAGTTAATACAGTCAACAGGAAAATTAAAACTAGAGATGTATGTGGATGGCTTAAACATACCTTCCATATCATAACGTCAATATCCAATTGTCTATTATTAACTAATGATGTTGGAGAAATTGCAGCTCCCATAGCAATCTTGTTGTTCGTTTGAACAAAACCTGAACACAGTAAATTGTAGCATCCTGTGGTTTGGTATGCATCACTCTGCATTTAGAATTTGTGCTAGTTTTCAGTTTATGAGAGTGTCTAAATTAAGCATGAAGAGATAAAGTAATGTATCCATCTGATATATATAAAAAAAATGGAATTTATTTGAGTAATTAAAATTATTACCGTCCAATATGTAAAGAACCTAGGATAGATGTCTCCATATAGTTCTGGACTGACCTGACAATATGAACATGGCAGTTAATCAATTTTCATGTAAGTACTAAATCTCAGTTGTCTGTCTAAATTTATAACTTATTAGCTGTCTGTCATATGCTACTAGGGATAGTTTGTTATGACGACTAATTTAACCAATATTTTACTTTTAATGTTAGTACTAAATCTCAGTACCAAGTACCAAAGGATTAATTAGAAAGTGAATTTATGCAGTGAAATTGCAAACCTGCCAACCAGCTTCAATGCTATTAAGATCATCACCAAAAGTGCCAGAGATAACCCATAGCTGTGACAAACTGAATTCATATTAGTCTGTTACCCTTGGTGTCCATACACTAATGCTCGCCTTTGCTCCATAATATTCTTCACCATTCACAAAAGCTACTGCATGCTGCCATATTGAATACAAATATTTTTATTATGCCATTAAATAGATGTACATTCTACTTTTAAGAAATGTTAATTCAATGTCTGGAGAGTAAACAAATTACCTCATGATCACTGCTCATTATGTCGCGCCTTATTATTTTTCTTCCAAATCTTTGGAAAGTGCTAGCTCTTATAACATCTTTCTCTGTAGTTGTTCTAATTGGAACTGTCCCTTTTGGGCATGATTCTCCTGAAACTGTCCACAGCTGAAAGCTGCTTTCTGTCGTTGCATTTTCTATAGGCCTCTTTGGAGGTTCCTGCATTCAGTCAAAGTTTAGAAACAGTGTATTCTGCTCTTTATATATGTGTCCATTTATTACATGGAACTCTTGTTTCGAGTATTTCTCCTGTAGATCGTGATTGATTCTATTTTTTTTTTTAATATCATTCTCTTAGTAAAAGTTTTAAAAGAGAAAGGATTCTTCAGCAAAGTACCAATGGTTTCATCCCTTTGAGGTGAGGATGGTCAAAAGCTGGTTGAAGATGAGATACAACACAATCTATTAGATCTCCATCTGGACTCTGCAATGACAAAAACAAAATCAAAGGGTATCATTGGTTTCAACATCTGATAGACTCATAAAGAAAACTTCAAATTTTAATCATGAAACGAAGTGAATTATATTTGCCTGAACTGTCTTGACTGCTGGTTTGTTGATCTTTCTCAGATAAGTCCTTAATCTCTTATGTTTAAAAGTTTTGAAAGTTTGGTTTGCAAGGAACTGATCCCCTGATTTATTCGCGGTAGGCTCTGAGATGACAGTACCAAGTATAGAAGCAAGAAGCAAGAAAATGATTGAAAATGGCTTAGAAGTACCAGTAGTCATGATTTTGGGGTATTATTCTTTTAGTGTGGTTGTTTCTTCTGTTTACTTGGCCTTTGTATTTGTATGTGTTCTGGTTGTCTACTTCTGTAGAGCAGCAAGACAAGAAAGGTTTATTCCAAAATTTTGTCCATGGAAATATTGCCTAGCTCTATCAACAAATCAATACAAAAGACTTAATTAAGAAAGTTCAAAAGACTAAGTTAAAATAAAGTCCACTACCTCGCTATTTTCAAAACTTTATTTATTTATAAGAATCAATTTGACTGATAAAAGCACTCTTTCCGGATTCTGCCTCTCTGTGGTGGCTGTGTTCTGACACAGAGAACCATCAGCTCAGTTTATAATTAGTATGGGTTTATATAACATGTTATAGTCAAAATTAATGGACCTATTTTTTTGTTTAACTTTTTTATACGCGTACTATAAAGTTTCTGGCCCACAATCATGTCGCCTAAAAGATACTCCCTCCGGTCCAAAATAAGTGATTTTTCTTGCGGTCCAAAATAAGTGATTTTTTCAGATTTCAAGAATGAATTAATTATTTTTTTCCTACATTGTCCTTGAGTAAATAGTGTTGGAATATNACACATTGGGAGCAAGGCGGGAATTCTTCTACGAGTTTTTTCCTTCCTCTTCCTATTTTTCATTGTTGGTTATGATTTTTAGTATTGTAGTTTTACATACTATTATGAATAGCTAATTTGTTATCTAGAGTTTTGATAGAACCTTTTGTAGGATAAATTCTTGTTATGTTTTTATATAATTGAGCCATAGCTTTTCTCTATTTGTTCAACTACGTTTATATTGTGGTTGGTTGAAGAGCTCTCAATTAGCTGTGCCTATTTAGTATGCATAACTCGGGAGAGAGTGCATATTTAGGTAATTGTTGAACAACACCACTCCCAGAGTATATGAGGGATCAATAACCGAGGGTTTAAAGGTGGGATTAGGGATAACGAAGCCTTGGGTGCGATCTGAAGTGAGCTGTATTAAAAGCCAGCTAGCGTAGCTCGGGAGAGTGCGTCTAGTAAATTGTCGTAATTACTCGGGAGAGATTTACGGTAATAAGAGTGCTCATGATCGGTAGAGAATACTTAGGCGAAATTATAGAAGACATAGCGGGAAGGATTCCGACAATAGGGGAAATCATAACTCTACACCTCCTTAATCTTTTCTCTAACCCTCAGTATCGTTAGTTGTTAATTTACTATTTTAATTTGTTAGTTAAGTAGTTAAACACAAGAATCTTAATATCTATAGGTTAGGAATTGTTCAAGCTTGTCTTCTTGGTGATAGTGAACAGTTGTAGCTAAAAGTTCTCTGTGGGATTCGACTCCGGACTTGTAAACCGGATTATATTTGCAACGACCGCATTGTCCTTTTTATAAGGCATAGTTGGGCGTGATCAAATTTTGACAAGATTAGAATGTCATTTGATGTGGTTTGGTCATTTTATGTTGGGTGGACTTCTAGATGCACAGGTTTATAAGTACAAAACTATGGCGATTGAATATATTAAAGAGAGGCGAGACATACCTAAAATCACATCAAGAAAAAGTCTCAAAATATCTAAAATATCTTGGAATCCAAGTAGATTTTGGCAAAAACTATTATAATGAAAGCAAAAGATCCATTATAGCCGATATTTTCTAGATAGAATTAAGGATAAGTAATGATGCTACACTTATATTAGGCTTGTTGTTTCTAGGAGTCTTTTTAGAATGTCTATGATTTGCATGTTAATACAAAATGCAAAGAACTTCTAATGCCAGGGAACTCAAATTATGGAATATTGGAACGAAATGGGTTCAAGTAAATCGAAATGTGGTGCGCGTAGATTCATTGGCCGACTAGCTTGGATTGAGGTATAAGTGTGTGTTGTTATTTAATGGTGTTACATAATTAACCTAGACGCTTTACATAATGAACGTAGACTCTATTTTAGTAATGTACATAACCCATATATAGATGGCACATTTGTAGGAATCTCTTTTGTTTCTTTCCTTAGTTAGCACTTGATGCACATATATTTATATTGCTTACCTCTCGGAATAATACAACAAATTGTACTCTCCATTCCGTGCACATGGTATCAGAGCGGGTCTACTACTTGTTAGAGTTGAGTCAAATCCACTGCCGAAAAACTACACTTGGGATTTAATGGATTTACCTAGTGGAAAAAACAATGGGATACAAGTAGGTCTTCACGGTGAAAGTTAATCCTAATGAATTTGTGGCAATACTTAAGGCCACACTTGTGGCTAAAGGATGTGCTCAAACTTATGGAGTGGATTATTCAGACACCTTCTCTCCGGTTGCCAAGCTTACTTATGTATGCTTGTTCATTTCTCTATATGCTTTTGAGAATTGGCCTTTGCATCAATTAGATATTAAGAATGCATTTCTTCATGGTGATCTCCATCAAGAGGTGTATATGGAGCAACCACCTGATTTTATTGCTTAGGGGAGTATTGGAAGGTTTGTCATTTGAAGAAATCCTTATATGGCTTGAAGCAGAGTCTTCAAGCTTGGTTTGGTAAATTTAGTGAAGTAGTTCAAGAATTTGGGCTGCAAAAAAAGTAAATGTGATTCTTCAGTCTTCTACAAGCAATCAACAACTGGATCTATTCTCCTTATTGTATATGCAGATGACATTGTTATTATATGGAGTGATTATGCAGGAATATCTTCTCTCAAGTCTTTTTTTCATACTAAGTTGCACACAAAAGACTTGGGACAACTGAAATACTTTTTGGAAGTATAAATAACTAGAAGCAAGAAGGGAATTTTTCTATCTTAGAGAAAGTAAGTTCTACTTACTAGCAGAAACTGGTAAGTTAGATGCCAAGCATTGCAGTGCTCCAATGGTTCCTAGTTTGCATCTTATGAAAGATGATGGTGATCCATTTAGTGATCCAAATAGATACAGGTGGTTAGTTGAGAGATTAAACTATCTCGCTGTGAATCGTCCAGATATTGCTTTTGTAGTATGGTTAGATAGTTCATGTCCACACCCACAGTTAAATGTTGGGAGGCTTTGGAGCAGATCCTATGTTGGATCTCCTGGACTTGGCGTATTATAGAGAAATCACGGTTATTCTCGCATTAACTATTTTGCTGATGCAAATTGGGATGGATCCAAGATTGATAAAAGATTTATTACTGGTTATTGCGTCTATGTTGGTAGAAACTTGGTATCATGGAGAAATAAGAAACAAAATATTATATCTCGATCAAATGCAGAATCCGAGTACAGAGCTATGGAACTCAACATATGAGATAATATGGATACATAACCTTTTAATTAAAATTGGGTTGAAGCATCCTACTCCATCAAAACTCTGGTGTGATAATCAAGCTGCGCTCCATATCGTCTCAAATCTAGTGAATCATGACAGAACCAAATATATTGAAGTTGACTGTCATTTTATTTGTGAGAAGATTTAGGAGTACTTGATTTCCACGGGCTACGTGAAGAAGGAGAGCAACTAGCTGATTTGTTCACTAAAGCATTAAATGGCACTCGAGTTGACTACCTTGTAACAAGCTGGGCATAATCATATATATGCTCCAGCTTTAGGGGAGTATTACAGAATGAACCTAGATGTTTTACATAATGAGCGCAGACTGTTTCTTAGTAGTGTACATTACCCATATATAAATAGCAGAATTGTAGAAATCTCTTTTATTTCTTTCTTTAGTTAGCACCTGATGTATATGTATTTACATTGTTTACCTCTTGGAATAATACAGCAAGTTATTCTTTCCATTCTGTGTACAATTGGACAATAACTTAATCACTTTATCTGGTGGCATTGGGTTCCTTAGCTTTCTTTCTCTCTGTCATCATTCTTTCTTGCTCCTGTACATTCTATTCTTTTGACTGGTTATTACCTTAATTTATCTTTTACATGCTGAGTTTTTGAATAATGAATCATCCTTCCTTGTATTTCCATGTTAAATAACTCTTTTCCTACTGCCTTTTTCTTTCACGTTGGCAATGATTCCCGATTTCCACTGCGAAATTTATGACGGATTAACATCGATAACTCGTTAGTTAATGTTGCTTTAACTGAAAAGTATTCCACTTAATCCAGTCTCATTATATCTTCTTGATTCTACATTGTTGTTATTTCCTGGATATATATGTTTGAAGATGGTCGTAATTAGTTCTGCAGTTACTTGGAACAACGATGAATTTGGCATGGCACTACTTTTATTTTACCTCACCTAATATGTTTTCTTTTGCTCTCTTTCCAAAAGAATACTACTAGTAGCATTTTATTTGTTGGTGATCAAATTATAGAGTTCTTGGAAATGAAGTTTTTTTTTTCGTTCTTTTGTTTCACTTGTTTAACAGTTTATCTGCATTATGTCTCGAATTGGCCTGTTTGTATCAGGACAGTGAAAGTGAAGATGAAGGGGTGGCCTTGATGAATCAGAAGAAAAAAAGCACAACTGGCACTCTAGAATACAATTGCAAATGCAGTCAAGCAGAACAGTTGTCACTCTTGAAACTGATAAAGCTACTTTAATCTCGACATGATTAGAGAGATAGGAATATATCCTTTATCAATACATTTGTCATCCCTATCAATTTTCTGTTGTCATAATCTTGTAGCTTATTTAAGCTAAAATCTAATAAGAGAAGCATATTACATACTTGTGCATTTTTATTTCAAGCTTATTTGAAATTCTTGTATTTCTTTGATGAGAAATGTCAAACCGAGGTGAGTGTATACGGTCAAAATCCTATGCCTTCGATCTATAGGCTCGAGGGGTCGCCTTAAGCCCGAGTTCAGGCAAGGTCGAGTTCGAGCCCGATGGATCAGACTCGAGCTCGAAGATATGATACAAGGCCCGAAGATAGGAGAACGAAGAATATCGAAGCCGAGTATGTTCGACCCCGAATAATGCCGTTATGAATTTGTAACAGAATGATCAAGATTCCTGCCACGTCCCCAAGATCATGGCGCAAATCCGGGAATAAGATTGTACGATTCCGTACTAGGCGGTTAGAGAGCTGTACCAATAATATTCCTTACTGTAAATAGAAATGTACCTTATTTAGGGTTTCCCTTTTATGTAAAGGGCACCCCAATAATTTGTAACATCATCTAATCATTGGCAAAGAATATACTATCTTACTTTTCTACCTCATTGTTCATCAGAATTGTCTTTCTCTTTACTGTTCTTCTATTATTGTTCTTGGTCCATCTCGAGGTCACTAAGCTCGAGGTCGATACTGCTAAACTACACTGGTTTGATTCACTTATTTCTATCATTTCTACTTCAGACTTCTTGATTATTAATTGGTATTGAACTAAATCACGTATCTTTAAAACCACAAATCAAATTTAATTGTTACTCGTATTTTCGAGGTAAACAGTTTGGCGCCCACTGTGGGGCTAAAGATAATAGTGATTATTTCTTTACTAATTCTCATTACACACGTTATTTTTGCGCTTTTTCTTGTCAAAATTTTCTGATTCTTAGGATTAAACATGTCGAACTCGCAAAATTCACCTGTTCATGACAACGAAGGTCTTGGATTTCATGGGGAAAACAACAATTTATGGGTCGGTGTACCACCGATAAACCCTGGGGAAGTGCCAAATGTGGAACCAGTTGATGTCAGTTCACACATTGCTTTGGATGCAGATTTATACGCAGACCCCGAAGGGAGTGTACGGAGAGAAGCCCGATCTGAGGACCAAGGAACACCAGGTATAAGAGATGGGGGAGTCAGCCTCTAAGTGATATTCGAGATGCTGCAAGCTCAGCAGATCACCATCGCTGAACTGCAAAGTCAAAATAAAACTCCGAGTATAGGTGAACCAGAAAACACCCGACGTGCTGAACCAGCGCCAAAGAGGTCGAACGGAAATGACTTGGGGACTGACCCCACCATTATGAGGATGCTCGAAGAGCTCACCAAAGAGGATTGAGTCCGGGGGAAAGAAGATCGAGGACAATGATAAGAAAGTGGAGACTTACAACTCCCGTGTTGACCAGATACCGGGGGCACCTCCAGTTTTGAAAGATTTAGATGCAAAAAAGTTCATATAAAAACCATTCTCTCAGATCGCGACTCCGATGCTCATCCCTAAAAAGTTACGCATGCCCGATATACCCAAGTATAATGGGACAATTAACCCTAATGAGCATATTACTTCATACACTTCCAAGATAAAAGGAAATGACTTGAACGACGATGAGATCGAATCAGTATTGTTAAAAAAGTTTAGAGAAACATTGTCAAAAGGAGCTATGATTTGGTATCACAACTTGCCTGCTAATTCTATTGATTCGTTTGCTATGTTAGCAGACACCTTCTGTAGATGCCCCCTTTTTTTTCGCGAAATCGGGTTTACGACATTTGGAAGGACAACTCGTTTCCTTTTGGGAATTGGGTTTGAAGAGTCGCCACCTAATGATTAAGTGCATTAGGACACTAAGAAAACTTTGATTTGGAAAATCAGAGATTGGGTAAGGGCTTGAAATTATCCCGAGGGGAAGGTGTTAGGCACCCCTCAAGATCCACTAGTGTGGTTCCCGGCCATACTATAATTGTGACTTTAAGTGCAAATAACAAGTAGACAAATAAGAGTTACAAATATGAGAGGGGGGTTTTCACATAATTATTGCAAGTAATTTGAAGTTAAAACGAAGTTAAAGAAGCTGAAATTTGAGAAGAAAAGCAATTTTGAAACTCAGAATAAACGGGTAAAAGAGAAGAAATTTCATATATTGCTGCAAGTAAATTGAGGTTAAAAGCAGTCAAAGAAGCTGAAATTTGAGAAAAAAAGTAGTTTTTGAAATTCTAAATAAAACAAACAAGTAAAGGGAGGGGGTCCTAGGTTTATAAATAATATGGATCACCCCACACAACACCCGGTAATCGTTTATACACGTGGTGTTATCGCATGGTCATCATATCCATATCTACCCTTTTCCACCCCGTTAAGGTATTAAATACGGAATGGTTTCACTTTACTTATTGCATGCTATTACCCGTCCCCATCCTATTAGTCCCGGAGGCATTTGGGACTACTAATTCTAAAGGGAAGGGTGATTTGGGCTTTTTGTGGTTTTAAAAGGATAAAACTCTAAGGCGACAATCAAAAACACGTAGAGCAGATATGGGGAAACACATAACAATTAAAGGCTCAAACAGGCCTCCTCAACTTAAAGACAGATTGTTTAGCATGTCTTGCACATACTGGTTATGGTCTTAATTAAACTTAAGAGTTGTGGCAGACTGATCTATTACACATTTCAAATAAGAAACCCGAATCAGGCCTGCCTGCCGGTTGTAGTTAATAGAATCTGATTCAATTAACTAGTTTACCTTATGGCTTGCCTAGGTGAAACCTATAGGCATGATATCTATTAATGCAGAAGTATACTGATTTTTGAAGAAGAAGACTTGTTGATTACAGAAAAACATAAGTTCTGCAGATATTAAGAATTGCTACTCCTGATTTTAGACTTATAGGCAAAATAGACGATTCAGATTTAGTTGATAGCTCCTATAGGCATGCTTTCTAGGTGCTAATGATTTTAATACGTTTACAGTCGAAATAAAAGTGCAGAAGTCCTATAGGCATGGTGTCTAGAATATTGTTTGTTATTTAAACCTATAAATACGTTTGCCTAGTGATAGATGCATATGCAGAATTCAGGAAGTCCTATAGACATGTTATCTATGTGATATGCAAAAATGTGGAAAACCTACAGACATGGTTTCTATATGAAATGCAGAAGCTATAGTTTTCTATAAAAATACTAGAAAGTGTAGAAAACTTATAG